AGTCATGTGGCAGAACTGGTTCAGTGTCTCGCAAGCGAGGCCCAAGGCTTGCATTGAATGTCTCCTGAAAAACACGATCAATGATTCCCCTCCACGATACGACCTCGGAGCCCTTACCTGATCAGCTGTAGCGTCCCAGCCAAGCGTGTCCTCGGCCATAGTCTCGTCCTCCTCATTCGGCACATCCCACTGCCTGTCATCATCGGCTGGTACAAACAGACTGTCAAAGCGAATTGATGGTGGCGGTGGCTGCTGACTCTCAACATTAGTCTCTTTGACGCGGTTTGTTGTCCCAGTCAGCGGCCGAATTGATCGACTGCGAGGAGGTGGCATCTGTTCGGTATTCGAGGCAGCATGGTTTTGAGAGACGTGCACCGGCGCGGGCGTTTGTCTTGCGGACAGCTCGGGAATGGCTGCTCGCGATGATGGGAAGTCCTCACTATCATCTTCGCCTGTCGTCATCAAGGTGAATTCGGTCCTAACCCCCTCGAAGTCATATGCAAGCTGCAGTGGTCTGCACGGGCGAGTGTACCGAGCGGTTATCAGCACGCCTGTTGTCTCTGCATGGGTTATGATCGCTTTGAAGTCCTTCAGAGTAATGGCAATATGAAGTTCATCTTCAGCCGAAAAGTCCTCGAAGTCTCTTTTATCGATAGCCACGGAAGTGTGTACTGGTTGTTTGAGGATTTCTGCAAGCAGACTAGTCAGTTCCAGTTGACCAACAGAGCTACTCAATGGCGCAGACCTTGCCCGTCCGTAATCTTCGTTGTAAAGCTCGTAAAGATAGCCTTGCCACCATCGGAGTAGATATCCAGTTGCTCTGCTGACGGACTAAAGTGGTCGGTAATTTCCTTCAAAAACCTGGGCTCAATGCTCCACTTATTAGTCGCGCTAGATCTGTCGAAGATAGCATGCTGAGCGGTAGTTGGTTCATAAGTGAGTTTGTAAGTCCTAATGACGCCTGCCGGGTCAAGAAAGCCATTCGATAAGTACTTTGGACCCTGACTGACGAAGACAGACTGAGAAGACGCACCCAGTCCACAGATCATTCTAATGACGAGCCTACATTCTGTCTCCTCCGGATCTTCGTTGAGTTCAAACTCGCACCGTTCGACCGCTGTGTCCTTATCTCGTCCAGTGGTTCTCCGTTTGAAGATGGACAGCAAAGCCTTTCTTAGTCAGCCTCATCACTCAACGCTCGGTTCTGGGCGATTCTCACTTTGAGATAAATTTGGCAGCAGAATCTGTTTGAGCGGACATTTTCGCTCTGGCCAGTATGACTGAATGAGTAAGTAGTGAAGAAACTTGCTCCGTCGAGGACGAATGCAGCATAGGCGGTCTTGCTGGAGTTGATGACGCTTAGTCGAAGCTACGGTTTTCGTCAGTCATTGTGACACTCATTGAACTTCAGATAGTCCTGTATGATCTCACTAAAGCAGATTCAGCCTCTATAGAGACCGTCTCACTGAATTTGGCCAGACATAAAAGGGCATCATGCATCCGCCCTAATGCCTCTGGGTTGATTGAGAAAAACAGCGATGTCATGTCCGTTTTTAAAGGGATCAAGACGCGAGATTCCAGTGTTATCAAAATGTCATCATCCTATTGCTGAAAACCCCATAATAATGATGTTTTTCGTTATCGTTCCTCCTCATCGATTTGTTCAAACGCTCCAAGTCACGACGCGAGCTTACATAATCTGGGCCTGGAAGTAAGGCTTACTCGACCGCAACACAGGGCAGCATCAACAGCAGGCAAGACTTCCATTTTGAGCAATCTATTTGCATGTTGCGTCTGATCAGCGTTATTATTTGGCGTTTCGACGGAGACGGGTGAGAATCCGCATTGAGTATGGCCTCAACGTTGCCTGGTGACATTATCTACCTCATCGTCGAGATCCTGGGACAAGAGAAGGACTTCAACAGTCTGTTCCAATGTGCTGTGTCTGCGAAGTGTTTCACTGAGCAAGCTGTCACCGCTATATATAAGTTTGTTCATATGTCATACGTTATTCTCCTCTACAGATTTGCTGACCCTGGGAATACAGATCACACGAACTCTCTCCTGTCAGAGGCGGCGGGACGGAACTTGGCATCCTGGACTCGACACATACTCGACGAAAATGGGCCTCTATGTGGCGCTCTATTGTGCTTTCTGCTCTTGACCAAACCTATCTTCCGTATTACAGTTACATTCGGTACTTGGATCTCAATGATTTGTCGAATCTCCTCAGCCATAGTTCGTTCACTGGGAAGATCAAAGAGTATGTGTCCCGGCGTGACTTGTGGGAACTGTATTTAACAAGATGTAGCGAGTTCTTTACTCCGGAACTTCGGGACCTTGTGTCTCACGATTATGAGCCCAAGGGAAATAAGCGTCTTCGCTCACTGCGGAATCTGCCTGACAATGATTGGATCTTATCCAAGATTGGTACTGGTCAGTCTTCCCCTGGATGTACCATGTCCAAGCTCCCTTGGATATCAACCCCATTCATGGTTGTTCTTCTAAAAGCTGAAAAGATCAAAGCTATTATCAAAAGAACTACCTCGATACGCGGAATGTCCTGCGACAGTAAGTGGGAAGTCCGAAATATCTAGCGAAACGGGCGTCTGTTCCAGAAGCAAGTTTGACGTTTCGACTACTTCTAGTCGAACCTTCACTATTGGCCGAGTGGCTGGGAGAACTCCCATTGTTACAGAATCTGACTATCTGGTCTGGAGTTTCTCTAACTGACCATGCCGGTGACAAAATTCGAACCCACTGCCCCGATTTCAAGCAAATCACGATATATAGATGGTAAGATATCAGTGTTGGTGTTCGGCAAAGCAGTATATTCACTAAGTCGGCCAGGATCGACGAACGAGGCCGAAATTCTGAGACTGATGCTAAGGAGTTTCTCCACGGACTCCAGCCTCACAGCCTTGAGTATTTCGAGATGCTGAGCTCTTGTCACTTAGGGCCACGCTCGATAAGAGCCATAGGCACGCAGTTGAAATCACTAAAAGAGCTGAAATTGACAAGCCTTGGGATCGAGGCAATTGCAGAGTTGCCTTCATTGACAGCGACGCCAGTGCTGGAGGTGCTTGTGTTGACCGATTCAATACCAGCAGCACGGAACGAAGCCTTTTATTCCACAGTCAATCGAGTTGCTGATTGGATTGGTGGCTGCAAGGCCCTGCGTCACCTGGAGCTTAGAAGATTTGCTGATGACGCATTTCTACTGGCTCGTGTTCTGGTTGCCCAGGATATTAAGCTGCTGTGTTTGTCTCTGACTGGGTACACAATGGCTGGCGGTCGTGACTTCCACAGAGCTTTGGCGTCTCAAGATTCTCTGCAACGTCTCAGCCTTCGAGGTGAAGGGTCCGAGATTCCCGAAGATAACGAGTTGCTTGTCCAAGCCATTTGCCAGCTACACAATCTGCATGAACTCGAGCTCAAGGATATTTCCGATTATTTCACACCTGATCATCTAATGTCATTCACTCCATATCTCCCCCATTTGGAGAAATTGTGGATCGGAGGTGACCTCTTCAATGATGACGTATGGAATGCATTTTTATGTCTTCCAAAGCTACGCAGTCTGGCCATCCTTGCGCTCAGCGAGTTCACGGCTCAGGGTATACTCGATTTCATTTCGCAATTGGGGCCCGGTAACACAGGAATGAGTCTCTCGATTTTGAACTCAGTAACAACGCTCACAGAGGAAGCACAGAGCTTAATCCGCGATATTTTGAGACACAATCTCGATGGGACCTTTGACTTCGGTCTTGCACAGGGTAAGGGCCTGCTCTCAGGATGATAGATGATGCTAGCTGCTGACATGTGTGATGCAGAGGAATTCAGCGACACCGACACGGAAGGGATGTCAGACTGATTGACGAGAATACAACTTGAACGAGCCTGCTTTAGAGCTAGAGTTACCTAGGGGGCTCATATTTCTTGATATATACCCTACCTCTGTAGGTTTCAAAACATGGCAATATATCTGACTTGACTTCTTGGGTTGATGGTCTAGAACTACAATGATCTATGAAAGTCTTAGGTTTTTGACACCGAGATGGGGATTAAGGAGTAGGGCAAGATATATGGCCAATAGCCTCCAGTATCTTCGGGTTTAAGGAATCAGCACACTGGGTGATCTTTGACAGTCAGGTGCTGATATGTCACTGGAATCTGCCATCCAATACGGTGGAGCGGATAATATAACGAAACAAAAAGAAGATTGTTTTGCAATTGGTGACCTGGCTGATAGGATGGTAAGACGTGTACCAGAAGAATGACACGTAGAACTACCTACAAACACTACTATATGTAATCGCATAAATTTTCCGCACAACACCACTGGTAGAACCTTGAATCATGGTCTATCGATACTGCTTTGATTTTTAGAGTCTATTTGATTTGCGTTGACAGAAAAAATCAGTATGGGCTTATCTCATTAGGATTGTGCCCAATAATTGTGGTTGGGGTGGTTGGATCCGCGCATTCTAAAGGGTTCAGCAAACTGGATTCTTACCATCAACCCTTCATTTCTCCAGGTGACTGGACTATAACTTAGCATGTTTTCCGCATCTGAGAACATGGTCAAGTAGAAATAGTAAGCCACAAAGACTACACTATCTAGGGGTGAGTCGGTGAGCAGGCATGCCTGAGGCTGGTCATACATTCCTCACACTCCAGCCCAGCCTACCTCATCCCTCGGAACTTACCTCTCACTTTGACTGCTAGCATTCCACGGCTATACACATTTCTTCCAGTAATTACTGATCCGGGTGTGGTTCCACAAATGCAGATATGACCAGGCTTCAACCACGTGCTCAGGAGCGTGCCTTCAATGTTGATCTGCCATCGCCAGGAATGATCCTCTTGCTCGAGCTCTGAGGGGAGAGTCTATACAAAATGAAACGGATCGTCCCTCGTCCTCAGGCTGTCAGACAGTACAGCCGTTGATCAATTTCCTCTTTGACATTGAGTTGAGAACGCAAAGCTACTCATCGAACATGGCTAGACTGTTGATCTTCCTACCTACCGTCTGCGCCTTCATCGCCTTCATACTGAGCATATTATGTCTTTTTGCGGGGACGAAGAAGGATATCCTCTCGGGGGCGGATATTCTCACAGTGAGTTGGCCGTCTCCCTTCTGGTGTGTGTTTCCCTTTTGCTGATGTGTGTGTGTGCCAGATCTACACATCTACATTAGCAGCGAAGAAACCGGGGATGCACGATTTCTACTCGATACACGTTATGTCCTATTGCGAGGGCTTCCTTGATCTCAACGAGACGGGTCAACGAAAGAACCTGACGGGTTGCTCGGATCGTACCGCGCTCTTCTCATTTAATCCGTCCGAATTGCTTTTGGAAGAAACGGGAAATACTACTTCGCTGGCGGACATGGGATGGCCAACCGCTGTCAGCGACGATTTCCGCGCCTTCAGGATCACCAGCAAGAGCATGGGAGTCTTCTACTGCATTGGAGTAGGGACTGCCGGTCTGGTCATTCTGGCGAGATTGTGGTTTCTTCTAGTCAAGGGACCACGGCAGACGATTGCTGAGGTGTCTGTTCTTCTGGTACGTAGGAAGCTGTTTGGCTGGCTCCCGAGTCCCGACTGCGGGCTGTATGGCAACCGAACTAACTATCATGATCTTACTCGGTACTACAGATCAGTTTCATCAGCCTCAGCATTGCCTCGATAGTCGCAACCGTGATCGCATTCCAATTCGTCAACCTCGTCAACTACCATGGCAAACATTCGGGTGTGACCGCCAAATATGGCAACCAATTTCTAGGCATGACATGGGCGGCTGTCGGGCTGTTGCTCGTTGGCGGGATCGCGAGTTTGCTGTTTGTCCTCGTCGACCGTTCCCGACCTGATCCGAGACCCGAACCCGAGGCGGAAGCCGGAAACGAGGCCAAGGATCCGGTCCTGTATCTTGAGGAGGATTCGGATTCGGTGAAGACCAAAGTGAACACGGATCGATGAAAGAGGAAAAGCCAGGGGTCATGGAGCAATGAATCTGGATCGGTTACGGTGGTGGGAGAAGGGAAGAGAAAGGTAGGGAAATGCATGATGGAAAAGAGGAGAAACAAAGTGAGGCCAGGAACGGAGGAATGTGCAAATAGTATTCGTTGGATATAGATTTGATGACCCATAGGAAGCGCTATTCTATTCAATTCTAATGTCTAGCACTGCCTGTAGCGGTCGTAGTGGACCATAGAGGCCCCTGAGGCTTCAGGCTCAGCCCATCAAAGCACACAGAGAGAAAAAATAAACTGGGTCTTGCGGGAGTTGGCGACGTCATAAGTGGACCAGATGGGGATCAACGTTGAATGACTTCAACAACAACCACTTCGTAATGTTTCTCTCCATCATCAAGGCGATTGCATCGATGACGTCCGAGGCACAAAGTTCTGGATTCACCGTGTAGGTAGTATCTATCGAATGAGTGACATAGTAGTAATACTATGAACGAACTCCACTCGATGGGATTGATGGTTCAACCGTGAAACAACATCATTCAGTCATGATATTGAAATTGTAGAAGCGGGATACTCGAATCAACTCACCGGAAGGACGGCCTAATTCTCCGGCAAAAACATATTCAAAGATGCCCAAGAAGTTTAGGCAGACAGTTGTGTTGCTATGATGCATGATATCGGGTAGGACTGAGAATGCGGGAACCACCGGAGCACAGCGTCCGAGACGGGGTTTCATGTGCTAATGGAGGTCCGTCCCCTGGAAGATGAGGCCTTCCCGGATACACCTTGAATAGGTGTCTCAATATTTACTTTGTATGGTGCCTACTTCTACTCTCTTCCATGGGGCGGATTCCACATCCGAGGTGGAGGAGATCCACCAGTATAGTGGTCATGTAATCATTATCCTACGATTTACTACAATCTGCACAGCATTTGATGATGGTTAGATGGGAAAAGCTACGGAGCACAGTGCAACGGAAATGTCACTATCTGAAGGATGCTAATTAGACTAGTATCAGCCACAATCAAGATAATTCAAACTAAATGAAGCCATCCGGTGTAGTAACCAGCCATCAACCCCTCCCCCACCATTTTAACAGCCCCTTGGCTCTCTTTTGGGCCTTGGGATGTATGCATGTAACACAGCTGAGAACGGGATCCAGTGAATAGCGTCAATACTCGATCGAATCTACGCTGTTCCTTCCAATCCGGTTTTGTGTTTTGAGTTTCGTTCCATCATCGCTCTTTCCCCTCTTTCTCTTTTCTGTTTTCCATCTGCGTCTGATCTCGTTGTTGCTGTAATAATAAATACTGCCTTACTTCCCCTCTTCTGCATCATTCTTCATTACATCACTTACATCCCTCACTTCATCTGGACACTTCCTCGTGATCCTTTCTCATCTTCTGACTAGCTCTCTCTTTCCCCTCTACTCTTCTGCTCTTCTACGCTTTCTACGTTTCCTACTCTACTTTACCCTTCCACTCTCATCAGTCTCACACTTGCCGTCTTCTCCCCACTGATCTTCCATTCCAACTCGTCTCCAGTTCCAAGAAAGAAAAAAACATCATGGGAAAGAAGGCTATCCAGTTCGGCGGTGGTAACATCGGCCGTGGCTTTGTCGCTGAGTTCCTCCACGAAGCTGGCTACGAAGTTGTCTTCATTGATGTCGTGGACAAGGTCATTGATGCTCTGAAGAGCACTCCTTCATATGAGGTCACTGAAGTCAGTGAAGAGGGCGAGAAAACCAAGACAATTACCAACTACCGGGCCATCAACTCCAAGACCAACGAGAGCGACGTTGTGAAAGAGATTGCTACCGCTGATGTTGTCACTTGTGCTGTCGGCCCTAACATTCTCAAGTTCATTGCTCCTGTCATTGCCAAGGGTATTGATGCTCGTACCGCATCCAAGCCCGTCGCAGTGATTGCTTGTGAGAACGCCATTGGTGCTACCGATACCCTACGCGGCTTCATCGAGCAGCACACCGATAAGGACCGTCTCAGCACTATGAGTGAGCGTGCTCGTTTCGCCAACTCCGCTATCGACCGCATCGTACCCAACCAGCCTCCTAACGCCGGCCTTAACGTCCGCATCGAGAAATTTTACGAATGGACGGTGGAGCAGACTCCTTTTGGCGAATTCGGCCATCCGGATATCCCTGCCATTCACTGGGTCGATCATTTGGAGCCCTACATTGAACGCAAGCTCTTCACTGTCAACACCGGCCATGCCACTACTGCCTACTACGGTCACGTGCGCGGCAAGAAGATGATCGCTGACGCCCTTGCCGACGCCGAGATTCGCCAGACTGTCCACAAAGTTTTGGACCAGACCGCCGAGCTCATTACAACCAAGCACGAGATCACCAAGCAGGAGCAGCAGTCCTACGTCGACACCATCATCAAACGTATTTCCAACCCATTCCTGGAAGACAACGTTGAGCGTGTAGGACGGGCTCCCCTGCGCAAGTTGTCTCGCAACGAGCGCTTCATCGGGCCAGCCTCGCAACTCGCTGAGAAGGGCTTGGCGTTTGATGCACTGCTTGGCTCGATCGAGATGGCTCTCCGCTTCCAGAATGTGCCCGGCGATGAAGAAAGCGCTGAATTGGCCAAGATCCTCAAGGAGATGTCCGCCGATGAGGCCACTGCCAAGCTGACTGGACTGGAAAAGAGCCATCCTCTGTACGGGCCAGTACAGAACGTCGTGGCCAAGGTGCAGAAGGACAGCAAGTAGAGGTTCGAACCGCTTGATTACGAACTAGACTCGACTTTCATTATCCGTACCGTCTTTGCAACCCTTTCGCCAACTAGTCTTTGTTCTCATTGACGCTCCGTCGTGACCACAAAAGCCTGAGACAGAGGGCCCGAGTCGACTACGTATTGTGAACGGTCCATGAAGACACGTTATGATATTTCGAAGCGACGTTGAACTGGTTCATCCGCGGGACGGATACTGAACCGCATGGGATACGGCGAACAACTGGTCGGCGCGACGGATTACTGGGATTATGGGATTAGCATACACTATCATGACCTCGTTACCCCGACTTGGATGCAAAGCACCGAGTCTAATGAATTTCTTTAATTGCATTTGTCCTCTCCTTGTAGTTCGTATTTTGTAGACTGAAAGTTCGTCGCTTGTATGCATAGATGGAAGACAACAGACGCAAATAGAGTCACATTTACAACTTGCTATCCACCCACTTGGGCTTCCTCTTTTCGACAAACGCGCGCAGACCCTCCTTGATATTTTCCCCTTCATACAGCCTCTTTGACCAGGTGTCGACGAGCAACCGACTGCCATCTTCTGCGCCGACTCCCTCCCAGCCCAACTTGATGCCTTCCCGACTCACCACCACGGAATCGGGACTGTTGGCCGCAATCAGCTCCGCGATCTCGATGGCCCGCTTCACTACCTGGTTCGCCTCGTCCACCACCTCATTGACGAACCCCCACTCTTTCGCTTCCTCCGCCGAGACTCTCCGCCCCGTCAAGGCCATCTCCATCGCCCGCTGCCGCCCCACCGTACGAACCACTCGCGGCAACGCCCCCGCGATGGCAACCACCCCGCGCTGCACCTCAGGCAGCCCGAAGAACGCCTGCCGACAGGCCACGACCAAGTCCGCGTTGACGACCATCTCACATCCACCGCCGAGGCACAGCCCGTTGACAGCGCAGATGACGGGTTTCTTGCCGCTGCGCCTAGATAAGCCGCCGAAGCCGCCCTCCGCCATGGGTTTCCGGGTGCTGTTCGACTGAGCTTGGGTGTTCCATTCTACCGGGACATATACCATTAGCATCAACGTCCGTCATCCTCATCCTCATCCTTTGGTAATAGGTGAGAGGAAAGGCCGGTGACCGTAACGTTACCTTTCAGATCTGCGCCAGCGCAAAACGCCCTCCCTGTTCCGGTTAGGATCCCCACGCGCAGCGAGGGCTCATCGTCTAGCCACTGCCAGATGGAACTGAGTTCTTGGTGGCCTGTTGTGTTGATGCAGTTTAGGTCGCGGGGCCGGTTGAGAGTTACGAGGAGGATGTGCGGGGAGGGGAAGGAGAGGGTTGCGTGTTGCGGGTTTGGTGGAGGTGTTGTGAAGGGCATTTTTGGCTGGGTTTGTTTCTTTGAGACGTCCAGTAGATTGAATGCAGGAGGAATAAGGGTTGATTATAGGTGTTCTTGGGAGAGCGAGAGGATATATGGAGCTACCTTTTCTAGCTCTAGGTATGGGCTATCGGTTGATGTGGAGAGGCCGAGGCCCGAGAAGGTGTAAGATGCGGAGTCGCGGCGCGGTGGTGGACAGTATCTGACTATCTGACTATCTGACTATCTGGTAGATTAGACTCTCAAATTGAAGAATACAAAGGATAAGTTGTTCAAAGATCATTATGATAATAAAAATGAAGCTATATTTACACCTATTTACTCGCATCAAACATGCCATATCGGACTCATCAAATTACCTCCCCATCGCCAACGCCAGAACTCCTCTTACGGCAGTGACCTTGGATATCAAATGTACTCATCAACTGTGTGAAGATCCGCCCAGGTTAATTATGCCTTGTTGATCCATCCGCTGTGCACCATAAAATCGTAAATTCGACTTGTTTTCGTAGTATCGATCTATCATACCATGATGTGTTAGTAAAAACGGAGCCGAACGACAAAGATGTAGATCCTACCTTGCAAATAGCCCGTGCATCCTTCTTCTTAAGACTTCCCCCTTGTTTCATCGCCTCCTTCAACAGCGTCTCTTTGATCACCAGGTATGGCTTGGGTTGGATGTGAAGTACATTGCAGAGCTCCACTTCCTCCTTGGTCAGGAGATGCAGATCCGGGGCGCCTTCATTCTCCAGCTTCCACGGAATCACTCCGTTCAGTGGCTGCACCACAAACTTGGTTTTGGTGGGCTGGGGCGTACTCAGTCCGTCTCCATTACTGGCGAAAGCCCGGTCGAAATCGTTCAGGGGGACGCTGGTCGGCTCGGGAACCTTGTTTGCACCTGAGGCTTTTTGTAAGCGCAGAGGAAGCTCGGGTGTTGTCAGTTGACTGGCCGCGGACGGCTGCTCAGGCTGCTGCGCCTGCTTCGGGCGAGTGCTGGCGAAGCGATCAAACGATCCCTGCGGCAGGAGTCTTTGCGCGCGCTGCTGTTTCTCTTGCTCATACTTCTCTCCGCCCTTGAGGTCGCCAATACCCATCTGGCGCCATTCCTGCAGCTGCGCAATGGCCAACCGAAGATTGTGCTCGTACTCTAGGCCCTTGTTGAACTCCTCAAAGTCCTCATGGTTCATCATCCGCGCAAATGGCTTGGCCTTGTTCAACAGATCCTTTTCTTCCTTGGTGCGCTTCTTCTCCAACGCCGTGTTCTTCCGGTATTCCAGCAGATTATGTTCGAACAGAATCTTCTTCCGCTCCGTCCGCGCAGTCAGACGCGAGTTGTAGATGTCAACCACGGTCATCTTCAGTTCCATCTCCGCATCCGTCTCCCCATTTGGCGTCTCTCCAGCGCCCGGTTCGAAGGTCATATGTTGCACCGCCTCTTCGGCCTCGTTCATGAACTCTGTCTCGAACTCCAATCGACCAGGCATGTAGCCTTGCACTTCATGGCAAGCTGGTACACTGGCAGTAGGTTTTTGCTTGGGCGTCGTTGGAGGAGCCGCCTTGGCCGCTTCCTTGCGCTCTTCAATGCGTCGCTTCTTGCGGGCCTGGAACTCCTCCTTGGAAACAGAATCTTGTAGGCTCGTATCTTCGGGATCCGCTCGTTCGGGTAGGGGAAAATTAGAGCTTTCGATGTACGTCCTGATGTAGTGATCGCGCACTTCGTCTTTTGTGCGATATCCGCCGATGTGATCTGCAATGTCCGCCCATGATCCCAATCCGTAGATCTCTGCACCCTCCAATAATAGTAGTTCCTCGTCGGCGCCCCAGTCTTCTTCAAATATGGGAACCGAATTCTGTTCGATGACCTGGTACGGATGGGTGGAAGGGTCATGATTTTTCGATTTCTCACCAGCCGCAAAGCAGGGGACGCAGAGGTCGTATTCGTGGCAGGCGGGATGGGCGCATGATATGCGAACCTACACTCATCACGTCAAATCAGCGATCGCTTGTTATGCTTCGATCGAGCAGACAATCAAAGAATGTTCATACCGTCGCCGTCACATCTGCCGAGCAGATATCACAGTGATACTTGGTGCCTGCTTCGGTGCCGCGTGAGGCGGTCTTTTTCCGTATTACACCCATCGATTGTGAGTTCCTATCATCCTCCTCAGTACCCTGATCCGTTGCGAACACGCGTACAAGCCCTCCAATAATCTGAGAGAGCAACTATTGTGCGCTGGGGCCGAGGTTCATCAACAAAAGAAAGAATTAAAGTTGTCGAGGGGGGTTTGGCGAGTGAGGCTGATAGCAAAGGGATATGTATGTCTCCGCAGCCGAAGCGGAGGTACGCGGGGAGCTGTAACTGGTCAATCAAACCAAGACTGGGATAGCAAGGAAAAATAGGCTAGTGTGATCGGAAGACAGCAGTTGCGAATGATAGATGATGATCGATTCACCAGATTTTGGGGCCAGTTGTGTTGATTCAGATTGATAACTGGTTTAATCTCTCTCTCCCTTTTTGATTCACTGGTCACCTATGGGGTAAGGTAGTCTCCAGCAATACCAGTTAGAATTGTTGGAATCTGGTGGGCGACGACTGGGGCTGTGGCTGAAACAACCAACTGGGGCTGAGGGAAATTGCACAGCCCCAATTGGTACCTAAAACAGAATTGCATTGGCCTCAGGCATAAAGGCACATTTCACAGTGATGTTTCTGGGCCGGAGCCAATCACGGGACTCTCTTTCCTTTCCCCTCTTCAGCCTGTCAAGACCGACATTTAACTAGTGGAGGTACTTCCTACGCTACGGCTAACTGAAAGTCTCGCTCTTAGTAGGACGGAGTGTCTAATCCCCCTCCCTGCTTCATTCCTATTATTATTATTATTTTGAACTTAGACCTCATCTTACTATCTCCGAACAACATCAACCTGGGGTCGTGTTCTCTTTTCCGACCGACGACTCCCTTTCGCGGCCCTGGTTGTTTTCCTTAAGATTCTCCTCATACGGAATTCCTTATTCTTTATCCCTCCTGCCGTGTTGTGCCTCAATTGTCTGTCTGTTATCGATCATCTTAGTCTTGCATGTCCGCTGTGGCTGTGGCAACTCAGTATCCTCTCACATTGGATTGATTCAATTATTTACTTTCACAACGGGGATTGTGTTTCTAAAAACAATCATCGACTTATCATTTTCTCTCTCTCCTTTCCTTTATTTTGGTTCCGTTCCGAGGACATCCATCTTCTTTTATCATCACCCCTCTCCTTAAACCTCTTCCCCCCAGACTCGCCGTCACAATGTCGTGGAAGCTCACTAAAAGTATGTTCAGTTGGTCTTCCCATTTCCTATTGATAGTAATGTCTTTTATTTTTCCGCAGTACTGATATTTTTGTCCTTCTATCGCAGAGTTGAAGGAAACGCATCTTGCACCTCTGACAAACACCTTTACCCGCTCATCCTCCACATCCACCATCAAAGGTGAATCCGGCGAAGAGACTCCGGTAGTTTCGCAGACTCCGAGTATTTCATCCACAAACTCCAACGGAATCAGTATGTGCTCTCCTTGTCCCTTCTCACTCCCTCCCTGCATAGCCTGCTGTTTCCCCCCCCCCCTGGTTTACCCCAAATATTCCCTCTCATCGTATCACACAAATATATCGTCTCTAACGTCGTGTAAGATGCCTCGGAGTCGCTCGTTTCACCGCCTGTCGACCCTGTCAAGCCTGGTATCTTGATAGTCACTCTTCATGAAGGGCGGGGCTTTGCACTTTCCCCGCATTTCCAGCAGGTTTTCACTTCGCACTTCCAGAACAACAACTATTCGAGTTCAGTCCGTCCCAGCTCCTCTTCCTCCCACTCTACCCATGGACAAACGGCTTCGTTCGCGCAAAGCGGCCGCCCGCAGTCCACGAGCGGTGGCATCAATGCTGCTCCAACCATCCACGGTCGCTACTCGACCAAGTACCTCCCCTACGCTCTTCTGGATTTCGAAAAGAACCAGGTTTTTGTCGACGCTGTTTCGGGTACACCTGAGAATCCTCTTTGGGCCGGCGATAACACCGCTTTCAAGTTCGATGTGTCTCGCAAGACCGAACTGAACGTCCAGCTATATCTTCGCAACCCGTCAGCTCGACCCGGCGCCGGTCGGAGCGAGGACATCTTCCTCGGTGCGGCCAGAGTTCTCCCTCGGTTCGAAGAAGCCCAACCCTATGTGGACGATCCCAAGCTCAGCAAGAAGGATAATCAGAAGGCAGCCGCGGCCCATGCAAATAACGAGCGTCACTTGGGTCAGTTAGGCGCAGAGTGGCTCGACCTTCAGTTCGGTACGGGGTCAATCAAGATTGGGGTCTCCTTTGTCGAAAACAAGCAACGCAGCTTGAAGCTGGAAGACTTTGACCTGTTGAAGGTGGTGGGTAAGGGTAGTTTTGGCAAGGTGATGCAAGTCATGTCAGTATTCAGCTCGACAACGCCTTCTTTAATGATTGTGCTGACCTTTTTCATAGGAAGAAAGACACTGGTCGAATCTACGCTCTCAAGACCATTCGTAAGGCCCATATCATCTCGCGATCGGAAGTCACACACACCCTGGCGGAGCGGTCCGTGCTCGCCCAGATCAACAATCCTTTCATCGTTCCCCTGAAGTTTTCGTTTCAGTCTCCCGAGAAGCTTTACTTGGTTCTCGCTTTCGTCAATGGCGGAGAGTTGTTCCACCACCTCCAACGGGAGCAGCGGTTCGATATCAACCGAGCTCGTTTCTACACGGCCGAGTTACTCTGCGCACTTGAATGCCTGCATGGCTTCAAGGTCATATATCGTGATTTGAAACCCGAAAACATCCTGCTTGACTACACGGGCCACATTGCACTTTGCGACTTTGGTCTTTGCAAGTTGGACATGAAGGACGAAGATCGGACGAACAGTAAGTCGCCTATTTTGAAGATTATCCTTCCCATTCAATGGCTGATAGTTCGTATAGCCTTTTGCGGAACTCCTGAATATCTTGCACCTGAACTCTTGCTTGGCAACGGTTACACGAAAACTGTCGACTGGTGGACTCTGGGTGTCCTTCTCTACGAGATGCTAACTGGTCTTCCTCCGTTTTATGACGAGAACACAAACGACATGTACCGGAAGATTCTACAAGAACCCCTGACTTTCCCCAGCAGCGACATCGTTCCTCCGGCCGCTCGTGACCTTCTGACGAGGCTGCTTGATCGTGATCCTCAGCGTCGTCTTGGCGCAAACGGCGCGGCAGAGATCAAGTCGCACCATTTCTTCGCCAATATTGATTGGAGAAAGCTTCTTCAGAGGAAGTATGAGCCAAGTTTCCGGCCGAATGTGGTATGTATCAATCTCCCGTTTTAGCAAGCCCTGTCACTAACCATACCATTGCAGATGGGCGCATCTGATACCACCAACTTCGACGTTGAATTCACTTCGGAGGCACCTCAGGACTCGTACGTCGATGGGCCAGTTCTGTCACAGACAATGCAGCAGCAGTTCGCGGGCTGGTCTTACAACAGGCCTGTCGCTGGTCTTGGAGATGCCGGTGGCAGTGTCAAGGATCCATCCTTCGGCAGCATTCCTGAGTGAGCAGCTCTTTAGGGTTGCTAACAGGCTAGCCTGGACCAAGAGGTAGAATGGCTTCCAGATTCCGGGTGAAAGCGGAATTGTTTGATACAATTCTAACTGCCTTCGTTTCTCGTTCCCTTCATCTTCTTTCTGAGTTCCGGGCACATCTATTTTCTTATCCTTTGTCCTCTCTTGCCCTTTTCTTTTAGCACGAGGAGTCCATGGCATTTTCAAGTTCTCTTGGAATTATTCCCTCTGAGTGATCTCAATCTCAATTGAGCGGCTTGTGTTGTGTTTTTTCCCTTTTCCTCTTGCATTTGAGATAAGTCAAGGCAGGTACCTCCAACCAGTTTTTTACTGTCTCTCATTCTTGTTGACTCGCATCATGTTTCGCATTCTACATAACATCTGGGCGTCTTTTTCTATGCCCGGAAGATGTTGAGGAGAGCATACAGTCAACTTCGAACCCTGTTTGAGAGTGGTGTTCTGAAGTCTATGACCTGTGAGCCGGTCTGTTTCTTATCTCCCAAGGCCCTGATCTGCTGGTCTGATCCTATGCAACAATTCTGACTTGGGGTATCACTTTTCATCTTCGGTTTTTTTTCTACAATCTGGTGAAATGGTTTCTCTTCCTTCCGGGTCACTTCAGCGCACCTGGAAGGCCTTTCGTCATCCATCGCAAAGCATGAACATGACTGGGTCATAGACAGCAATGACATTTTTTTCCCCCATGAATTCGGCTATCAAAAGTATGGCAATCAAGCTTTTTGAGCGGATCATAACACGCTAAGGACGCCTCCAGATGAAGTTGAAAGTTCAAGGAAGCTTTTACATAGACCCGAGTTAAGGCCAGTGCAAATCCTTTAGTGTAATCAGCATCAATGGTTCCGCCGGTCTGCGATACAGAGACGAATTCTTTGGCCTCATTTACCAAAGGTATTGTCAAAAATGAACTTGATCCAACATGGGACAAATACACAAACCGGTGGCCACAATGGGATTATGTATGGATGGAATGGCAAGGGAAAAATGAATCAATAGAAACTCTGCAATAAATCTAGGTAGTTATGTAAAAGAGAATCGTTCCCGAGGTAATCGCTCGAGCTTTGCCTTTGAAAAATTGAAGCGACGTTACCCCTTTTCCCGCACATTATTACATCCCACCGCGACGCCTATCTAGGCCTCCGTTTCCAACTCCGCAGTTCCGTTCTCTGCACTCCCGATGATTGCCTCATCGTCTGCGTTGATGTCGATCAGGGACTCGGACGATGGTGGTTCAGGGACGACACCTTCCTTCTCCAAGCGCAGGTACTCATCCCACTCTGGGAAGAGATCGTCGTCTGTCACTACGACATCGGGAGCACCGGGGGGAACACCGATGAGGCGAGCGATCTTCGATTTCCCAGATTGTTCCAGCGAAGCCTTCCACTGGACAACGAGCTCAGGAGCTTGGGATGGTTTGTAGGTCTGTGCGAACAGAACAGCCTCAGCGAGGCGGTTAGTCCGCACCAGGAGGTCGGTACAGCCATCGACATCCCCGAGCGACCACAGGCTAGAGAAAGCAACGTTTTGGAGACCAGCTTCCGAAGCTTGCTCGGCCAGCTGGCGGAGACCGGCGCGGTTGCCGCTAGCGGTGTGCAGAAGGAGGAGCGACCCAAAATCCTTCGCGTTTGTGAAACACTCCTCGGCCAAAGCAAGGTTCCATGCTGCCATAGCAGCATCGCCAACGATCTTCCACTTGTGCTCCACGTTGGCTTCACGGGCAATCTCAAGAGCGGTGTCGAGGTTGTTCAGCGACAGGGCAAGCTCGAAGCGGTGCTCTGGATCGGTGGCCACCTCCAGGGCCATTTCCTTATAGCCTTGACCCTCGAGGAAGCGTGCAACCTTGTTCATTTGGTCCTGAGGAACATCCTTGAGCAGCTCCGCGGCCATGTCCATGTCGCCACGCAGCACCACTGTCTGGTACTCAACCATGCTCAGCGACAAGCCGAAGGAAACAACGTTGACATCCTTGTCGGCAAGGTAGATACGACCGTCGCGCGGCAGATAACCCAAGATATACATTCCCTGGTCAAAATGAGAGACTGTGTAGGTCTGGTCACCAACTAGGTAATTAAGGCGGTTTGTCGAGTTGGTGTAAATAAAGCAGTCTCCAACCCATTGACCTGTCCTGACAGATTCGTTGACGTCAGTAACAACCTCAAAAGCAGACTCAACTCCGTCCTCATCGGCTTCCCCAGCATTCAGGCCATTGATGTAGTTCTCCTTTGAAAATCGCAGAACGTAAAAGGTGTCTTCACAGGCAAGAGTGACCAGCTCTCCGGACTCAGACCAGTAGACCTGTGAACTTTGGTAAGACAATGCGATATGAGAACCGAGATTCCGTTCTTAGACTTACAGCTTTGGGTTCGACTTCAATGCGGCGGACAAGGTTCCCTGTCTCCCAGTCGAACATGCCAATTCCTCCCTGACCCTTCACACCCAGAAGCACGCCGCCCGTGAGTCCTTCGGCCTGGAATCCCACGTCGAGGCCACCGGTTACTTCCTTGAAGTTCTTAAAGATCTTGACACTCGTCGGTGACTCGCGAATAGCATAGTCGTTGCTGTTGTCCTTTGAACCCCAGGCGAAGTCCAGAGCTTGACCGAAAGCCTTATTTCTCCAGGCAAGAGCAGTGTAAATGATGTACTCTCCGTCACCGCAAACCGAAACAAATCTCCCATTGGGAGAGTGTGATAGTGTCTGAGGATAAATTTCGCACGAGCCCAATTCCTTCGTGGGTAGGGAAAGCGGTGCTCCATCTTTAATGCTGGGGTCACCACCCTTGATAACTGTCGATACCACCTCGTTATGTCTTGCCCAAACAATCTTGCCAGACCCATCCATCGAGACGGCAGGCTCTTCTCGTCCCATCTTCACGACCACTGCACCGTCATCGAAACCCATAGCAATACCTTGTCGGCCACGTTGATACGCAACACACCACGCTCTCTCCAGACCGTAGTTCAATGATTGCTCCAATCTGTATGTGTTTGCGTGCCATAGCTTGATAGTGCCGTCCTCAGATCCGGAGATGATAACCGGCAATTCAGGGTGGTAACAGGCGAACGAGACATTGCTTGTGTGACCCTCCAAGGTCGCAATGAGTGCCTTGGTCGTGTAGTCCCAGACTTTGACGGTTCTGTCATCAGAAGTTGTGAGAAGGTATGGTTTGTCGGCTTGTGGGTAGTAGTCAACGTGGTTCACACCCTTGGTCTCGTGAGCTTCCAAAGTGAAGTTTGCATGGGGGGAGCCCAGGCTCCAGATCTTAACAGTGCGATCTAAGCATGCAGAAGCGAATGTGTTCGTGTCCTTCGGATTGATAGCCAGGCCCATCACATAGTGACTGTGACCTTCGTAAACTTGAACACACTTCCAACCTTTCTCCCAATCCCAGAGTTTGATCGTCATGTCATCGGAGGCTGTGAGAACAAATGGTTGCGTAGGGTGAACAGCGATCGATCGGATATAGTCCGGGTGAGCTTCGAAAGATGCGATCTTCTCAGACGTATTGTAGTTGTAGACGCGGAGTTGGAAATCATCAGAGCCACAGACGATCCAGTTCTTGCGGGCAATGAATCGTCCCGCTCGTACAGGGACATCGGTAAGTTCAAAAGTTTTGATAATTGACTTGGGGGAAGAATATCGGTCAGTCGAACTTCCTCAAAGGGTCTTCTCAACAGAGCTCACCTGCGTCTCATACGACCAGATGTATACGTGACCTGTACGTCTTCATCAGCGCATTTGCAATTGCAACCACTCAGGTCGCTATCATACCGCTATATAAAGTCGTCAGGATCTGATAGCAGGTCAGCATGTTATAAGAGCCTAGAATCACCAAAAAGGTACTCACCCATGGCTCCGTGGGATGGAAGTCGATGCCCTTCACCCGCTCCGAGCGGGCGAAAAGCTGTCTCTGTTAGTCGCAACAATAATCAGCAACTATGTCAACGGGTATTCAAGCAATTGCAATCCGGAGTATCAAGTCGACAGCATGTAGACGTATATGCATCTGAGTGCTTGCCTGCGTACCTTGACATCCAATCTCATGTTGTATGTGGGGGGAGACTCTATGTGCGGCGTCGGGGGTGCGGCCTGAGAGAAGGAAGCGGAAACCGGGCCACAAGCCGCTCAAACAGCCCAGCCTGGGATTGAAGAGGGCTTGAGTGAGGGGAAATGAATTGAAAATGTGGTCAACAAATAAAAGATCAAAAGTCTCCGGACAGAATGGCCCGCGGAGTCGTCACAAACATTCAGGGACTGGCAGCGATGTGTCCACAAGGGAACGGATTCCCGCCAGCTATCTCGAATGGGCTAGCGACTCTCACCGCTCACCGCCTACGCTATTTGGTTCATCTCCTTACTCCAGGGCGGATATCTACTTGACGTTCACAGATCATAATGCGCAAACAGCTGTCCAAAACCATGAATGATCTCGCAGTAAGATTCGGCCTAATCCAACGGCGCAAATGCCCACACTGCCGAATGTCGTATGTGCTGAGGGTACTCGATTGGCTAAGCCCACTTATTCGCCTGACGATGTACTCACTGTGTGATGCATCCTCACAAAGAGTTAAATATTCAGAAAATTGAAGCGGCAACTATGACCTCGTCCTTCAACTGAGTCCAGGAGGTGTGTGCCAGGTTCTACCACGCAGGGATTCGTCATCCAAGAGGACGACAACATCACTCCATATACAGGCTCGTTCCACAGGCAGGCCTCAGCGTGTGGGACCCATGCGGCGCAACTATGACCAATAATGGATCTTCAACCTCGTAGAAATGGTTGTGATTGTCTCAAATAGGTGCCCATTCTAATGTAGGGCCACGTTGGCTAATAAATACAAGTAATTTTGATTCAAACTAAGGGGAAGAAGGGGGGACACGATCGAAGTAGACCCACTGACCCGGGCGAGGCTTCTCTTCCAGTTCCTCCCACCTGTAAATTATTAAGTATCCGTTCCCTGAGGGGTAGGGTGGGTACAAAAACTTACACTTTAGACTTGTACATTTCGTCAACAAGCTTCAGTTCATTTTCGGCGACCTGGATGACCTCCTCAATCAGACCAGCACCGATCTGCTTCTCAATCTCGGCAACCCTGCGATCTATGGTCAGTTGCCCTGCTAGTGACCGCAGAATAAGGGCGTAGGTCAACGTACTGTTCTGCCTCAAGGGCTGGCTCATTCTCCCACTTCATTTGTTCGGTAGCAAAGTCTGAATCTTTCGCCTGTGTGGCAGTTGCTTCCTCAATAGCTTTGTGCCACCGTGCTTCTTCTTCCGCTGTACGAGCAGGTCCCTCGGTAGTTGGTTCCAGGGCTTCACCATCCCACTCCTCACCACGGGGATTGTCGGTTCCGTCATCGCGCATAAATCCCGCATAAGTTCCATCGGCGAGGCGGAGGGAAGCGAAGCGCTCGGGTTCGGCACTGACAGCCTTCTTCACGCGCTCTAGCCAAGCATCATAACCTGGGGGCTTAACGGACTCGACGATCTGGAGGCGGTGGCGTGTCAAGGCTTCGGTGGATTGCCGGTAGACGGAGGACTCTGGGAAGCTCTTCAAGTTCTCCAAGGTGGTCCTGTAGAGGTGAATGAGGGTGGGACGAGGGCTGGGGTGGGTGACAAGGCCGGTCAAGCCGGTGGGAGCAAAGGGCTCCAAGTACCGGGCCGACTTGACGTTGGCCAGCAACCGAAACGTGGATCTCATAGTGATCTGAGGATATGTAGGAGATAGAAAAGAATTGGCCCAGAGGAATTCAGTGTTCACCCCTAATGGCCAAGGGATTCGACAATAGCCGGACTATCTGCTATCTTCAAGGGTGTCTCTGCGGAGTGATCGCACGAAGGTTGAGGTTCCGTCGGTTAGCGGAGAAACAAAGACTCCGGGGCCTCATAATGCAGCAACCAGTCTAGTCCCTCCACCGAATTAATTCATGGGGCCAGACTTGAGGTCAACTTGGACTTTATCAGCCAACGCGCTAAGGGGGCGACAACACTCACCCGCCTTGTCATCCATTCTGAGGGTCAGAGTCATCTCACAGTTCGCAGTGCGCAATTCGCAGTTGGTTCAGTTTTCTCTATTATAAGCAGTTGCTTTTGTTGCACTGCTTATCGCGCCCTGACACTGCCTGGTCGATTGAGCCGTTCGATAAACGTGGAGTTTGGTCCAATGTGCATACTGTGAAAACCTATTTCAATCCCTTCTTCTTCGACGAGTTTCGACTTTCGTTTTTCAGCGTTAAGCTATTGTTTCAGGTCTTTGACCTTGACTGCCTGCCAGTATGAGGTCCTCGTTGCTGGCGTGGTCGCTCCTTTCGCTTCTCTCTATCCCAACTTTTGCCATTCCTTCCGGCGATATCGCGAACGGTCTCAATCTTGCGAACAATCGCCTCGTCAAAAGAGCGGAACCGGTTGAAAAGACCGAGTCGGGGCCGGCGTCGACAACATTCAATGGCGTCGAAGTGCCGCCCCTGAAAGAGTTGACACCAGAGAGCTTTGAGGAGCTTGCCAAAAACGGTTACTGGTTTGTCTCTATTGTACCCGTAGCAGTTACCCATGTCATAGATTTATTAACAGGTCAACAGGTTTGTGAAGCACTATTCTCCGTCATGTTCCCATTGCAAGGCGATCGCTCCCACATGGCAGACTCTATACGAATACTACTATGTGAGTGCTCTATCCACGTTCGACACGATCGTTCTTGGTCACTATCTAACATGCGCTAGACATCGAAACCGATATCCTCCTCTTCCGAGCCCTCCGATACTCAATCCCTTAACTCCTTTCAAAATTTTTATAACTTTCACTTCGCTTCGATGAACTGTCTTGCGTTTTCGGATTTCTGCAAGAGACTGGACGTCAAATGGTTTCCGACATTTTCCCTTTACCATAATGGCAAACTGGTTGAACACTTTGAGGGGGCTAAGACAATGGAAGGCCTAAGTGAGTTCGTGGAAGGCAAGCTAGAATCAATCCGACCTGGGTCTCGTCCTCCGAAAGGCGTAAAGCTTCCCGCGCCGGGCGACAAACAGGTAGACACGGAAGCTGCGCCGGACATCCCCGCCGCCAAGGACAAGGACCGTGTGGCGGGAGTCAAGGCTGGTGAGAAGCACAATGAACATGTCGCTCAGCTCGCCAGCGCAGATGCTCCGGTGAAATCTGCTACCCCTAAGGTGAACTCGGAACCATCCGCGCCTGCGAACCCTCAAGGAATCTCCGTTCCTCTTACAGCAGAGAGCTTCCAAAAGCTGGTCACGACTACCAGAGATCCCTGGTTCGTCAAGTTCTATGCTCCGTGGTGCCATCACTGCCAAGCGCTGGCCCCTGTTTGGCAGGGAATGGCCCGGGAGATGCAGCATGTCCTCAACGTTGGAGAGGTTAATTGCGATGCAGAGCCCAGGCTTTGCAAGGACGCTCGGGTGAACGCCTACCCGACGATGTACTTCTTCCGCGGCGGCGAACGAGTTGAATACACCGGTCTACGTGGTCTTGGCGATTTGGTCAACTACGCGAAGAAGGCTGTGGACATTGGATCCGGTATCCAGGATGTCGACGCAGCTCAATTCAAAGAGCTGGAAGAAAAGGAAGAAGTGATCTTCCTGTACTTTTACGACCACGCAACGACCTCGGAAGATTTTGAGGCCTTGGAACGATTGACTCTCAGCTTGGTGGGTCACGCCAGATTGGTCAAGACAAGCAGTGCGGCTCTTGCCGAGCGGTTCAAGATCACAACCTGGCCTCGACTCTTAGTCTCCCGAGATGGACGTCCCAGTTTCTACAATGCTCTGGCTCCGAAGGATATGCGGGACGTCCGTCAGATTCTGAACTGGATGCGCTCCGTTTGGCTGCCTATTGTCCCTGAACTCACAGTCTCTAACGCCCGTGAGATCATGGACGGGAAATATGTCGTTCTCGGGATTCTGAGCCGGCGTCGCTCTGATGATTTTATCCTTGCCAAGAGAGAACTAAAGAGCGCCGCTCTGGAGTGGATGGAAAAACAAACCCAGTTGTTCCGATTGGAGAGACAAGAACTTCGGGATGCTAAGCAGCTACGTATTGAGGAGGCAGAAGACCGCAATGACCAACGAGCCTTGCGGGCTGCTAAGAACATGCGCATTTCCATCCGGGAGGATGACAAGAAGCAAGTTGGATTTGCCTGGGTTGATGGCGAGTTCTGGGAACGGTGGCTGAGGACCACTTTTGGTATCGATATCGAGAACGGAGAACGGGTCATCATTAACGACCAGGATGTAAGCATCATTCGAGGAAGTGCTGTGTTTGCCCATTACTGACCGCATCTCCACAGAACCGACGCTACTGGGACGCCACTTCTAGTGGAGCTCCGATCATGGCCTCGCGAACCTCCATTCTCGAAACGATTCCGCTGGTCATTGCCGACTCGTCGAAGTTGAAGCCTAAGTCCACCGTCGGAACATTCGAATACATATTCTTCGTCACCCGGTCCTTTATTTCCGGCCATCCCATTATTTTCGTCGCACTGTTTACCATAAGCATTGTTGCCGTAACTTACTTGGCTCGAGCAAGGCTAGCAAAGCGCGGTCTCAGTCGTGGTGGCATCCTCGGTGCGGTTCAGAGCAACAGTGCCGGATTTTTCCGTCTCGATGGGAAGGAAGGTCTACTGAATGGGGGCGGCACCGGAAAGGTCGATTAGGTCGTCAGCATCAAGCGCATTGTATAGTTAGGTTTTGTTCTCCCGGTGTTGTTTTTTTTATTGCGTATCTCCATATTGGCTTTCTTCCTTGATTTTGCCATAATTACTAAACGGGTCTCTGCTTTTGACACGGACGATGCCTCTCTCATCTTCTTTTCCCTTACACAATCCATTTTCTTTTCTCGTTATCGTTGACTTTGATTTATTTTGATTGAAAGCGGTGTTGGGCATGTGGTGCACTCTACAAAATCTGCTGCTGGATTTTGTCAATATACGGCGGGCAAAAGACACATAGACAGCTATGCAAATGGGTACATGTCTGTTTCCCTGTTAGCATGGAGCAGATGGTGCGAAGTGTCAAATCTCATATATTCATGGATGTCATCACAAAATAACCTCTGAGCGACTTGGGAACAATCCAGACTCTACGCACATGGTATTCCTGCCGTCTGCTTCTTCTTTATTCAGATTCATAATGTCTTGTCGATGTCCATCTATCTAGATCATCTTGAGACTCTGTCCACCTCTCTACCTATTTAAAAGGATCGGAAATCCAAAGCCTTTTATTTGACACCGTCGTTGTCACGTGAGTTTGATTTTGCGCCTGCTGATTGGCCGCGGGATTGCCGCAAGTTGCAACATCGGAGCCTCTCGGTTTTCGTCGAACAACCATTGCTCTCGTCGTTCATTCCATCGCTGGAGTAGTTCGTGTCGAGTGTACTTATACACAACTAATAACAAGATGGTACGTATTGTATGGAAACGATTCTTGTCGACTGAGTTTTTCGGCACGCTTGCGAGGGGCACATGAATGATGCTTACCCGCATAACTACGCCATTCGGCCTGCTATGCCATCCCGATGCTTTCGAAGAAGAGCGAGAGCGTTCAATTGCTGACGAATTCCTGCCTTTCTAGTTCTCGCAAACCCTCCGTCGCGCTGCGTCCCAGTCTACTGGTGCCTACCGCTCTCCTTTCGCTCCCAAGTGAGAACCCCTTCGAGAATTGATACCCTATCAGGCATATTGCATGGACGCATTTGGTATTCGGGCGAGACCTATGAACTGCCCAGACCGTGGGTCAATGGTTTGTGCATTGACAAGTCATCTGGCCTCCATTGATATGTCCGAACTGGTGATTTGATGGGCCTTCGTCATTCAAAAGCACAGCCTGGCTGTCACAGAGCGACGAACAATGGAAACAGGGCTTTACTGACTGTGGTGCTTGATGAAAATTAGGTACTATGTTCCTGCCCACTTCGGGGGTGTGAGCGCCAACATGGCCACCAAGTAGTGAGTCTCACCTTTGGTGTTTCTGTCAAGATGCATCTATGAGCGGACAGGCTTCCGGAAACCCCTACGCGCTCTTTTTTTATTCCATTCTAATGTGCTTTGATGCGTAGCGCTAGCATTGCTGCCACCTTCGGTGTTGCTGCTGGTACCTTCGCCGTCTTCTTCTTCGGTGAAGTGCCCCGCGTGCGCAACGACATCCTGCGCAAGGTTCCCTTCCTTGACGAGTACTTCGACCGCAGCATCCCTGCCGAGGACAACGTACGTACCTTTGAATCGCGCGAGAGGCTGTTGTGACGATTTGCTGACCGTTCACTAGCCGTTTTAAACGTCTTGCAAACTTCCGCGCCGTTTTCCTTGACCCGAGATGCCACCTGTATGGTTGGTCATCTGCTTGCGTTACCGGCTCAGTGGTGAAAACAAGGAATCGGTACTGTATTGTGTAGAATAGCGATGGGTTTTTGATAGCACATAGACACGCCTGGTCACCATCAAGTTTTTCTCCTTCTCTTTCCTTCTTTGGCACGGAAATAAGGCTCAAAATGGCAAGCAACAGCAACATATAATTATGACTACTATCTCTTCAATCTGTCCAGGGGTCCTAATATTACACTAGTACAAGCGACCTGAGGCTTTGGAGGTCTTTACTGCACGGGTAAGTTCAGCATCGACGCCACACTTATATAGGTCTGTCATCATCTGTCAAGTATCGTCGCATCAAGCCTGTCGATTCTTTTCCCACATAGGCAGGTATAACCTGACGAGCAGCTCAAGTCGAGCTACTTAGCGTCTTCCGGCCGCTTTGACTCCGTTTCCCCGTCATCCAACGAAAACGAACAGGAGCGCTTATCTGGCACGCGTATCTCTCTTCCTCTTATCAGCCACCGTGACTCTACGGCAAGTCCAACGGAGCTTATTCAACTCGAGGTATTGATAAGGAGTTCTACTCTGATGTTTCCTGGCTTGTTAAATCTCCATTTGACTTTCTCGTCGAATCGTTCCCCAAGCTTTTTATGAATCACCACCGCCTGAAGTTTCCCCCTCGAGTATGGACTCTCCGCCAAGCTTTGTCTTAATGCATGACTGTGTAGGATATCTACGAGATCATCCATGCCTTTTAAGCAATAAACCAACAGTAGGGCGGGGGATTTATTCTTATTCGACATGACACTCCAATACGACCCGCCGCTTGTCGGTGACGATCCCGTCGCAGCTCAGATAGTCGAGAGCTCAGCGTGACCAATGCGCCAGCGTATCAGATCGCGGACTCTTCCCCTCATTCTTCTTAGTCTTTCACGTTATCTCCCAGGTAGTTCGGTCTCTTTATCGACAGCAATGGCCCAAGAGTTTGTTTTGGTGCCAATGGGCGGGCTTTATGGTCGGTGTGGATGATTATATCTACTGCTAGGTATCCCTGCCTTTTTCTGTTGAGTGACAAGTGTCAGCTCATGCAAGGTGGTATCATCAGAACTACATTTGATGGTTACACAAAGCTGGATTCGTCTGCTTTAATAAGGTAATGAGACTCCTTGAGCTCTTCCTTTCTGCTACCACGTTATTTTCCTCTGTGCACACGAGCAAGACCTGCAGTTAGACTTGAAGTAGACGCGATGTCGTCTACCAAGGTCGCTTCGAAACAGGCGGTTTATCAAGATGTCGACCACGATCCCGTCACGTCTGTATTGCCAAACGGGGATATCCCGTACACGGATCATGAGATGGACGCGGATGAGCGGGTGATTGTGGCCCTGGGTTACAAGCAAGAATTCAAGCGAGAGTTCTCTTTGTGGACTACGTTCTGCGTCAGCTTTGCCGTGCTAGGGCTACTTCCCTCGTTCGCGAGCACTCTATATTATGGTAATAACACCTCGCTCTCCTATCACGGTGCATCTGCCCGGCACTGACAGTGACTTGAAGGAATGGGTTATGCGGGAACAGCAGGCATGGTCTGGGGGTGGATCATCGCCATGGTCTTCATTCAATGTGTGGCAATGGCAATGGCTGAACTATGTTCTGCAATGCCGACAAGGTGAGTTGATTGGATTTTTGCTTGTATCGTCGATGGAATGGGATGACTCAGAGGATTAGCGGTGGCTTGTACTACGCAGCGGCAGTTCTCGCTCCTCCAGGATACGGACCCTTTGCAGCCTGGCTCACAGGTTGGTCCAACTGGATTGGTCAAATCACAGCAGCGCCATCGGTAGATTTTGCATTGGCGGCGATGATTCTGGCTGCTGCCTCGATTTCCAACCCGGACTATGTCCCAACCAGCTGGCAGACGTTCCTCCTCACGACGCTGATTATGATTACCCACACCTTCATCAGCAGCATGCCGACGAAATGGGTCGCGAGATTCAATTCGTACGGGTCGACCTTCAACATGATGGCTCTCGTCGTCGTCCTCATTGCTATTCCTGCGGGTACGAAGAATGAACCAAAATTCAAGCCGTCGAAAGAGGTATGGGGCACCATTACCAACGGGACGGAGTTTCCGGATGGCGTAGCTGTGCTCATGACCTTTGTCGGTGTCATCTGGACCATGTCAGGCTACGATTCTCCTTTCCATCTGAGCGAGGAATGCTCGAATGCAAACATCGCCTCGCCGCGCGCCATTGTGATGACCTCTGGGGTCGGCGGCCTCATGGGCTGGTTTCTGCAGCTGGTCGTCGCCTACACTGTTCTCGACATCGAGGCCGTAATTGACTCGGATCTCGGACAACCTTGGGCATCGTACTTGCTACAAGTCATGCCGCGCAAAACAGCCATGGCCATTCTCGGACTGACCATTGTCTGTGGGTTCTCCATGGGCCAAGGCTGCATGGTTGCGGCGTCGCGGGTGACCTACGCCTACGCTCGCGACGACTGCTTCCCTTTGTCACGGATCTGGAAGAAGGTCAACGAGAGGACCAAAACCCCTGTCAACGCCGTCTTCCTCAACGCTGTCCTGGGTATTCTGATGTGCCTTCTTATTCTGGCGGGCGATGTGGCCATCGGAGCCTTGTTTTCCATTGGCGCCATTGCGCAGTTCGTCGCCTTCGCCATACCCATTTCAATTCGGGTGTTCTTCGTGGGGAACCGTTTCCAAAAGGGGCCATGGCACCTGGGGCCATTTGGTCCGGCGATTGGAGGGCTCGGCGTCTTGTTTGTTCTCTTGATGGTGCCCATTTTGTGTCTTCCCAGCGTGAGAGGGGCGGATCTGACGCCTGACCTGATGAACTGGACATGTCTGGTCTGGGGTGCGCCTATGCTGGCGGTGACTATCTGGTGGGTCATCGACGCACGCAGGTGGTTCAAGGGTCCCAAGATCAATGTGGAGCATGTTATCCATGGCGTGGAGGCGATTGTGGATGTGAGGGTGGAGGTGGAGGATCAACGGAGCGAAAGTCAAGATGATGCAGTGAGCAAGTCCTCGAATATGTAGTCTATTGGTAGCGACTTTATAACTATCATGTAATTTCTCTTGATAACCTACGTATGTTGCATGTTCTTCATATTCTTATAATGGAATGCGGCAATACCAGAACAAGTACATTTTTTTTTCAAAAGAGCTTACGTGCAACACCCAAGCGACAGTTGGTCTTGCCTACAAAAGCAGCGAGATTTATATATACACATCAATAGGGCAGCAACTCGAACTGTTTTGAATCCCCAATACGTAGAGCCATGGCCAGAAGACGAGGTCTCTTAAAGATATTGTTCCTACGCCCACCACA